TCTTCAGTAGCTCTGCTTTTTGATTTTTCTCTTTATTTTTGAGACTCTCATACATGCAATATAATGAAAGATCACCATATCAACACCTACTGGCTCTCCCCACAGCCCTTAAAACGCTCCTTCTGATTTCAAGTCTTTGTTTTTACATCCTCTAAGCCGAGTTAGTGTTCTACCCATGTGAGCATGGGTGTGGGGTCATCCACTAGATCATGGGAATTCTATAGCCCCACATTCTCCAAACAGAATGAGTCTCCCCTGGCAAATATCCATTGCTGATAGATCCTCAGTGAGGGGCGGGGCCAGAGATCTACTCTGGGCTTTTGTAGGTCTTGTGCAGGGGACCACAGCTGCTGTGGGTTCACTATAGCCAAGCTGTCTAGAAGACAGCTCTTCGCAGCACTCCTCCCCATCCTCCGGCTCTTACATTCTTCCTGCCTCCTCTCCCGAGATTTTCCAGGAGCCTTGGTGGTAGGAGAATAAATACAGCTTCTAGGTTCGGGGCTGAGCACTCATCTCTTACTCCCTGCAATATTCTCTCCACCAACTGCTGCAAAAAGCAGCTTCTCCCACCACAGCAGAGAGGATCCCAGGTCTGTCAGAGCCAGAAGCTGGGTGCATTTGGGGGGAAGGGGAGTTTTCAGGTAGCCTATGTATACCATGATGACCTTGAACTTCTGATCACCTCACCCCCGCCACACCTCCATGCTAGATAAACACTTTCCACTGAGGCGCCAGCCTTAGCCTTGAACAGCAGGACTGAAACCAGGAACCACTATGTGTTTAACAAGCCCTGTATGACATCCTTGACTTCCTGACTGACAGGCTATTTCCCTTCCTCCAGTGTCGACACCAGAGCTCTGAGCAGCAGCCCCTTTGGCAGCATGCTGGAGGTCCATAATATTTTCAGAACATCTAACCAAGGGCAAGGGGAGGGAGGTTATTACTTAAGTCTATGATTTAAGTCTTATCATTGAAGTCCCAGGAAACCCCATCTCCACTCTGTTATTGATTGATCCTCTGGTAAATGACCAACCATTCACCCAGGGGGGAAAATCCAAGGGTTAGTTAAGAAATACATGGAAGAGGTGCCAATCCAGCTCTTTTCAGGGTCACAGAACCCAGCCCTGGCTTTTGTTCATGCAGGGTGCAGATGGGCAGATGTCAGGGTATGAGGCCCATTCTGAGTGTGCCCTGGAATGAGATTTTCAATGCACACAAGTTATACGGTGCAGAGAAGCCAAGAACCGAAAGCGAATCTGATACTGTTCTGAGCAGTTTTGTGCCATGAATTCTGCAAATGTAAAGACAGGTGTCAGCATGCAGTGACCAGCCCACCACGCCAAACTTAAAACTGGATCTCTGTATTGGTTCCCTTCATCAAATAAGAAAGAGCTCATATATGAAAAAGAAACAGCTGGAGAGACACCTCAGTTAGTGTGTTTGCCATGCAACCATCATTTCTGAACTCAATCCCTGGAACCTGTGTTTTAAAAACAGAGCATGGTAGCACGTGATTGTAATTTCAATGCTGCGAAGGCAGAGAAAGGCAGATCCCAGAAGCTCCCCAACCAGCCTGCCTATTCTAGCCAGCAAGTGAACTGCAGGAAAATGAGAAACCCCGTCTCAACAAACAAGGCAGATACCCTTTGAGAACAGCAGCAAAGGTTTAGCTCTGACCTACACACATACACACACACACACACACACACACACACAATTCCCTATGTTGTGGCCTGGAATATATTCCAGCTGGTATGTATGTGGGCAGCTGCAAAACAGAAGGAAGACAAAGCACAAAGAAAATAGTTTACAGAAGAAAATAGTTTACTTCAGGAAAGCAGGGATGAATCCACATGTAACTAACAAACTCCTTCATCTTCACACAGTACTCAGAGGTTCAAGAGTGGTTGTCCCTATCTGACAAGAGGGGAAACTGAGGCTCACACATGCTTCACCACCCATCCATATCACCACGTTAATTAAATGTCAGCCCAGGAATCTAAGCCCAGCTCTTTCTCTCTGAGATGGGCTTTTTGGTTCAGCCATGCCCCTACTCTTCTAAACCCAGTCGTGGCATTCTTGGGACCAAGGTGCTGAGTTCAGTGACTTGGATGCCCTGAGACTGTCTGTATGTTCTACAATAGCCTAAGGCAAGGCTTTCAAAGTCCACATTCACTCACTGCTCCCCAGCCTCTAGAAGTCAACGCCTCCTTGTATTTCCCTTTGGAGTTTTGTATTGCTTTCCTGTTTGGTATCAAGATTCTACTCCCATTTGCTAGAACCAGTTCTTCGAGAACACCTCTCAATGCCTTTCAAATCCAGTCCTCTCTTCACCTTTGCCAGGTCCTTCCCCTTCCTTCTCTGCTACTATACCTCTGATCACTCCATCTTCCCCACCCATTTCCCATGCCTTCTCCTCCAACTCCCTACTTCTAGCCTTCCCTTGCTCACGACCTGACCTGGGCTATGTGAGATGCTGCCTCAGGATATTGCATCATTAGGAGCAAGGGAGATGACAACAATGGTGACCTCAAGGTTGACTGAGACAGGGTAGCAGCATGATCCATAATTATAACTCCGCTGATTCCCTGTGAGACATCAGGCTGAGCTTTTGAGACCGGTTCTGATGAGGCTCTTGCAGGAACTGCAACCGTCCCATCCTTCTGGGTGCACGCTCTTCTCAGGCCAATTGGCCTCACTAATAAGCTCTTTGAAGGCACACTGGCTCTTCATTCAACACTTCAAAGCCCCAGTGAACATAATTTGGAGGCCTGTCGAGATCCTATCCGGTTGCTAGTGGTCTGACTGCATGCCACACTGTGAACAGTCACATGCTTCCTGTCCTGCAAGAATTCAGCTTCTTCCCGTCAGCTATTCGTGTAACCATCATTAACACCTAGTCTGCCATTGTAACAGCCAGAGTAGTGGAGTTAAATGCCACAAAATGCAGAATGGCTCTATTACTCAGGAGGTGTCTGCTCAGTGAAACACCTTGCAGCAGTTTTAAAGAAGGCCGAGGATGTCACACCCTGATGGTTGAAAATGTTCATTACTTAAGTAAAGATAAACACGATAAATACAGTCCCATTTCGTTGGCCAGCTACATAGGAATGTATAAATGCATGTTCATATAGACATCTACTTGAGCACAAACAAGTATCTGAGAAAATAGTCGACACCAGTTAGCAATGGGTACCCCAAGGATTTAGCACATGGGGGGTCTCTTTTTCCTTCGTATATTTTGAATGGCTTGGTGTTTTTGTCAATGGGTACAACTCTTTAAGGAATCTGCAATAGTATTTTCAAAACTGGTGTCTTGACCATCTAGACTATGAATACACATTCTCTTCTGTGCCAAAACTAGCACTTTCTACCAAACCCCACTCCCATTATCTCAGGTTAGTTAAAAACTGGGAGATCCCATAGCAGAATCAGGGTTTCTAAGTCTCTCTGGGATTGTGACCAGTACTGGTTTATTTTGAAAATAATATAAACAATGCCAACTTCTGTCTCTTACAGAGCCCTCAGATCCTCAGAGAGTTAAATCTGTGTGCTGCAAATTTCATTTGAGGTGGGACTTTATCTGAGTGCTTGCTGAAAGACTCCTTAGGGCCAGAAACAAAACAGTGAAGGAGTCCTCGCCTCTAACATATCTGTTCCTAGGTTTCTCTAACAAGACCTAGACCTGCTTAGTACCCAAAAGTATATGTGACCAGGTGTTTCCTTCTTAAGATTTATGTCAATCAAGCCACACAGTAGAAACAGAGGTTCTAAGAAATAAACGCATAAAGAAACAAACAACCCATGTCACATTGTTGGAGAATTTAAAAATGCTTTTCAAAGAATTATATGTTCAACTTAGCTACAAACCTCACATAGTTTCTGCATTGTTCATAGGCATGAGAAAATCATGAGGAAGTATACAGATAATTTGAAAAGTCCGGTTCCGTTCAGTGGTATCCGGTCCAGCTAAATACCAAACATGTGCTCAAACCAGAGCAAAGAAAAAAAAGAAAGAAGAAAAAAAGAGAGAAAAGAGAAAAAGCTGTGTAGTTTATAGGAAGGTGTCTCTGAGACTCCATGTCCCTTCAGTTCCTACTGCCTACAATATGAAATATAGACCAAAGCATTAAAATCACCCACCGTGCAGGTGGGGTGATGCACACCTTTAATCCCAGCACTCAGGTGGCAGAGGTAGGCAGATCACTGTGGGATCAAGGTCAGTCTGGTCTGTATATAGTAGATTCTAGAACAATAAAATAATACTAATAATAAAGCACCCACCACAAGGAAACTTTTTGGAAAGGCAGAATCTCAGACCTTCCCCAACTGACCCTGAAGGAGGGTCTGAATAGCAAGGTCCCCAAATGGTTCCGAAGAAGGAGACTGATTCCTTGGCTCCATCGAAAGCAATCTACTACTTCTGCCCTGTCTTTGAACTTTTCACTAATTGGGCAAGATCTGCTCATGGCATCAATGTAAATAGGTTTTGTTGCCCCATGAGGTGAGCCTCTACAGCTAGCCCCGGAAAGAGGAGCACCCAGGGCACTGTGGGCATCTGCTTTTTCCCAGACTGCCAGGTGGCGGGTACTCTTAACGGGACTAGTCTAGGTCAAGGATGATATGGGATTAGAAACTTATCTTGGAGCTCAAAGAGAGTAACGGGTTAAACGGAAAGCAGAGGAAAGTGCCCATGATAGCACTTTCTGTCTGAGGTCGAGGTGGGCAGCTGGTAAGTCGCCCACTTTTACCATGAGACTGGAAGGAGCTACAAGGAAGAGTTGAGACCAGAAGAGGGCTAGAGCACCTTGTGCACTTGGAAGACAGCCCTCCTAGGGGGCCTGCTCCATCACATGGAGGAAGGAGAATGAAGGCTTGTGTGCAGCAGGGCAAGAGACAGGAATCTCAGGCTTCAAATAGTCACACTGACTATCAGCAAGGGGGTCAGAGAAGTCAGGAGCTCTAACAGACCAGACACAGCCTCCAGAGGCCTAACTCACAGCTGTGCGATGCCCGCCTTGCGCACCGCGGAAGAGATGGCTTTGACCGCGGTGCAGAGCGAGTTCAGCAGCTGGGTCATTTCGCCAGTGCCCCCAGCCTTTCTGCCCTCCTCCATGACGAAGCGGGTCAGGGTGTTGATATCCGTGTCGAAGGGCGCCTGGTCCGCCATTGCTGGGGCCCGATGCAGGTGCCGGCTGCAGGTACTCGCTGCAAGTGCTGGCAGGTAGGGCCACAGGTGATGGTCACAGCGGGAGTACTGAAGTCTGTCGGTGCCTGCAGAAGTTCAATGAGCTTGAGTCCTGGCGGAGCCTATAGCTGCCAGGTCTCCGCCCCCAGTCCCAGGAAACACCTCCTTGCTCCCAGCCTCCACTCAACTGTCGTTTTGCCAGTGCCAGTTCTAACCTCTCCCTCCCTCCCTCCGTTCCATGCACCCTCCCCTAGATGCCACGCTGACATCAACACTTCCTCCTCTGTTGCCCCACAGCCCTGCATGCATTGTGCAGCACGCCTCTGGGTTACCTGCATGACGATCGCCTTCAATCCCCGCAATAACCTGCCGAAGAGGAAGCCTGATGAACTTTCCCCCCCTTAAAATACAAAGCAAATCCAGAGAGGTTGAGTAACTCTCGTTTGATTACTTTCCCTACACAGCTGGTGGAGTCCACGCTGGCCAGTTCCGGTGCCTAACCACTGCTCTCTCGGTCACTTCTCTGCACCCTGTCACCTGTCTCTTGACTCACGTTCTGGGAAGTGTACCCCCATCCTTCATCAGTCTGAATCCTTAATTGTTGCCTCCTCGAGGTTTCTAGAGTTGGAGAACTGTTGAGAAAGTTAGGTTCCAACAAGCGTGTTCTGCAAGGGAAACAGTTCCAGACACAACCCTGTCCTGAGATCACGCACTTCCACAGCCAGCAACCTGACCTGCTCCTATTCTGTCTCAAGTCACAATTACTGAAACAGCTACTGTGGACCGGAACACCAGTTCTCTTTGTGGCCAGGGGCCTCCTTCAGCAGAGTTTAACAAGCAAAAAGAAACAGAAACAAATCACGGATCAGTTCCCTACAGGAGCCACATAGACATAGGGGAAGATGAAACAGAAAAAAACAAACACACAGAATGCTGGGAAGAGGAAACTGAGTGGTCAGGGAAAAGTTCACCGAGAAAGTAATATTTGAACAACAACAAAAAAAAATAAAATAAAATAAAATAAAAAAATAAAAAAACCTGAAGGATGTTGGGGCGGAGCCAGTGAGGACCTATCTGTGAGACTGGCTAACCTGCCAGGCTCGTGCAATCAACTAGCACCAAATGTATCAGAGACTGTCTCTCAAAATGAGGTAGACAGTGCCCAAGGAGTAACACCCGAGGCTGTTCTCTAACCTCACGTGAGTACCCAAACAGGCACACATATGCAGGGGATGAAAAGAGGGTGAGAAAGAATAAATTATGACAAATCTCATGGATCATAGCAAGACACGTGTGGGTTCTATTCACAGTGCCTGAGGAACCTTTGGAGGGTTTTAAGCTGGGTAGTAACAAGACGTGTTTTCTTCTAAACGGTGTGGGAACAGACTGTAGAAGGTCATGATCTGAAGCTGGGAGACCTAGCAGCTTGCCTTCTGTCCAGCTTATCTGAGTCCCTTGTCAATCTCCACTAATCTTCACATGGTGTGGGCTTGAAGCATCCTGCCCTGCCCTGGACCCACTGTCTCCGGACAACTCCTTCAGCGTCATCTTCTCTCTTCCCACTATTTCTTCTAGCATCATCCTTTCTGCACTGCCGTCTCTGAGGACTCCTCCCAGCACCACGCTTTCTGGACCCTCTGTCTCTTGGCAAGCCCTCCGGTACCATCCTCTCTTCCTCCACCTGCCCCACCCTGTGTTCCAGTGACTCATTTTCCTAAGAAATTACCCTCTCATCCCCGGAGACAATATGGAACAGTCTGATGGTCACAGCAGGGTGGGACAGAGGACACTGAGCCATGACATAGTAGCCATAATGAGCTCAACCAAGGCCACAGGCAGCCCTGAGACTGAGATGACCCTTCTGAGCCCACTCCAGTGAGGGTCAAGATGCTACACACCAGGGTTACTCTTCATCCTTCATAGGCTGCTCTGGAAGGGGGCCTGACACAGGAGGGGTGGCAGCCTCTGCCTTCAAAGTTCTAGCACTGTCTAACCCAGGAGTACTAGCAGCTATGGAAGAAGTTTTTGTTCGCCTTGAGCTGGATGGGACCTGCAGTACCCATTGATGTCACCACCAACAGAGGCCTGGCTGTCTGTATCTGTGGCCATCCTCTACTCTTCACGTTAGAAGTCACACGACAGCCACAGACATTGCCAGACTGCTTAAGCAACTCAACTTCTCCCTGATCCCCACTGGGACTCTCCCCACATTTCAGGTTCAACCCTACTTCTCCAACCTCTCCAGACTCCAGCTACCCCACTCAAGGATCCACGCACCTTCCGTGTACTTTCCAGGACTATGAGCGTGTACCTGTTGAGTTTGGTCGACTCCCCCAAGGCCCTGAACCAAAGGCCAGTACAGAGAAATCATGAGTACGGCCTATTTTCTAAGTTAGTTATTGTGTGGACATGTAAGCAAATATGTGCGCCATAACATGCACGTGGCGGTCAGAAGACAACTTTGGAAGTTGGTTCTCTCCTTCCACCATGGGGTACCTGGGGATCGACTCAAAATGTCAGGCTCCATGGCAAACGACGTTGCACACCGAGCCATCTCGTTAGCCCATGGACACTCCAGTAGAAGGCTGAAGGCTTGCTTGCCTGTGGCTTTCTTCCACTTGAGGGTTCTGAGAGCCTGACTTAGAAGGCAAGAGGAAAATGTAGAAAGGGGGTAGCAGGGAAATGTCATTTGCTAGGTTCGGGAGTGCAGTCACGTGGCCTTTCATCTTAGACCCTGTAACACAGTGGAGGTGTCCCCGAGCAAGGGTACAAGGCTCAGTGATAGCGTCCTTGTATAGCATGCTTGTATACGTGTGGCCATAAAGTCAATTCCTAGCACACTAAATAAACACATTAATGAATTTAAAAAAAACAGTTTTCCTCTTGTATTTAGCATCAGACAGTGGAAGAGTTGGGATTTGAGCCCAGAATTTGGCTTTGCTTTCTGATACTAGCAATGTTTTTCATTATCAGCAGGACAGAGAAAGAGTGTGCAGATGCAGGCCTCGCTCTCCTGCAAACCAGACCACCTTACAAACACCACTTCACCCTTAGGGCCAAGTTTTGTCATCTGTGAAACAAGGAGGAGTTATGAAATCATCGCTCATATTTCTCCAGTGCTTGCTAAGCATATAGCTAAGGCTTTTTCAGATGAATTCTCTCATTCTGCCGCACCTCAGCCTTGTGGCTGAGAGCAATAAGAATCTATTCCCCTTCCACAAATGAGGAACCTGTGGTTTAGAGAAATTCGGTACCTTTCTCTGGGTCACACAGCTAAGAGGGGCGGATATTGACACTCAGACATGCTGACTCATGGGCACATGCTTAGCCCATCTGGTCTTCAGGATCTCAGAGTTCAGGTTCCCCTGTCCTAGCCTTCTGTAGTCCTGGGAGAAACCCCAGCAAGTCTCAGAGGCCCAGTTCTCCACTATTGCTGCCTCAGACTCTGGATATTTCCAGGACTTTCTGCGTTCCTCTCAAAGTGTACGTTCCAAGGAAGGAAGGGCCTGCTGTGCCTCCTGCAGTTTATCTTAGTTGGTTCTCAGATTGGGGTGCAATTCTCCCATACGGGTCTCACTGAAGGCTCTTGTGACCAGCAACAATGGGACTTTTTATAGTGCATATTAATTGCACAGCATAATGGGCTTCATTGTGGCATTTTCATATATGCAGACACCTTTGCTCACATTCACCCCATTGTCTCCCCTAATCCCCTAGTTCTCCCCTACTCCCTTCCTCTTCCCCAGTGGACAATGGGACTTTTTCAAACCAAGGTTTCAGACTTATAAGGACTTACTCTGTTCTACCCAAGTTTCATGCTGTTGTTTCTAATTAGCATAACCACCACGAAACTATTTTTTTTCTAACTGTTTAAAGTACAGAGAAGCAAAGAACAGCAACCAGGGGAAGAAGCTTGGGCTTTCTTGACCCAGAAGTACCTCAGGAGCTTCTTTCTACAGAAACTCAAGCTTGTTATTATCATTATTCTATGTATTTATATATGGTTCTGGTGAGTTACTGTCTTTGGCAAGTATCCTGGTTTGCTTCCCCGTTGTTTCATAAAATGCTAACCAAAAGCAATTTGGAGAGGGGAGGGTTTTTCTCCTCTGACAGATGAATTGATGAAACTTACATTTAATGAGAAATCCTGTTTCAAAACGTAAGGTGGAGAGTGATGGAGACACCAGATGTCGACTCTCTACATCCCCACACACCCTCAACCACACACACACACACACACACACACACACACACACACACACAACGGGATCTCAGATGGTCACTTTCCATTTTCTCCTTGAACAACTTTCTCTGCTCTAAATCCAGTGTCTCTACCAACCCCTTCCTCGTTTGTTAACCTCTGCTCTCAGAGATTGATTGATTGATTCATTCATTCATTCATTCATTCATACATTTATTTATTTATTATGTGTATGAGTGTGTTGCCTGCCTATATGCCTATACACCCCACATCTGTGGTACCCAGGGAAGCAGGAAAGGGCACTGGAATCTCTGAGAGTTACAGACTGTTGTGAGCCACCACGTGAACGCTAAGAATGAATGCTGGGTCCTCTGAAAGAGCAGCCCGAGCTCTTCACTGCTCAGCGGTTTCTCCAGTCCTGCCTCCGAGCCTGAGAAACAAGCCCCTTATATTTTTGGTTGTGAGCCTAGCCTTTGATAGTTGAGCCAATTCTTGATACAAAATTATTTCAAGCATACTTTCACATGAAAAATTTCTGTATCTGCAAAGAAATGACTCATTTTCATTCACGATATATTATTTTTACAATTTTCCCTTTCTATTTAACTAATGACTGTTTATCTGAAAATAAATTTTTATTTATGATTTCTTTCTGTATGTGGTTTATATCATTAAATGAATTATGGTTTTCATCATAGAAAGAAAGGAAATAGAACAGACTGCTTGCTTCCTCCCTGAAATCTGCTTGCTGTCTACCCAGTCTCCTCCTTGGGTCGCCAGCTACCTGTTGTCAGTGAGTTCTGTTTCAGAAACAGTCAGATAGGTTTAAATGCCTCACATCTTAGAAAAGCTGGGCGGCAGCTCCGTTGATGGTGTGTCTAACATTCGAGAAGCTCTGGGCTCAGC